CCCCAAAACCCCAAAACCCCTATAGCTTCTGAGAGTTTGGTTTTAAAATGAAACCCCGAAACAATCTCCATCACTTAAAAGAGCTAAATTTTTAGTTGTAATCAAGATTATATAATGATTATTGTAGCTATCACAATTTATTTTTCATTGATCTTTTTTGGCTGAAGTATTGACTTAGTAAATCGTTTTTATCTTCTTTTTTAGCGAATTATAGGCTCTACTCCTTTACATCATCGTAATTATATACAGCATTCGTTATGATCTATTAAGATGCATTAGATTATGTTGGTAATTATTCTGTCTAGTTATTTCCAATTTCTCTTGCAACGAATTTATCCTTATTTTGAGTTTGGTTTCTCTTTATAAGTTTCATGATCTCATCATCTCCAGTGTTTCTAAGTTTCAAAGCAGGTAGTTTGTTCTCATCATCTTTTCCTTTTGATGCTAAAAGCTTTACATCGATTGTTGAATTATTCAATTTCTTGTTCTATTGAAATTCAAGTCTAATTTTGCTAGCTTTTGTGTGTTATCCTCTCTTTTACGCTTTTATAATTTAATATTTTTCTTTTTCTAAATCAAGTCTTTACTAAACAGTAGAGACGTACTCTTTCTCAAACTCATGAGTCATGATCTTATTCATGTTATCAGAAGGAAGAGTACCTATACCAAATGACTAGTTCTAGCTCACATGTTTAGGCAATTTCAATGCATTCTTTAGTTTTTAGCTCTTGAAGCCTTGATAGTATTAGCTTGCATTAGATAGTCTCTCCAACTATTCTTACTCTTATTAATCTATTGTCATATTAAGAATATTATTCTTTTGAGATTGATAATTCTTGCTCATCTGTTAAAGTGCTTCTTATCTATCAAAAGGATCTATATTCCTTCTTTTTTCCTCGCATAGATTGCAAAATTCGTGATAGTTAATGTATCCGTCTTAGTTTTAATCAAGATAGTCAAACACTTATTAGAGATCAGATGCAGCAATTTTTATCTTCATATGCTCTACTGCCTAATAGAAATCGGTCTTAGAAATTTTCCCTCTCTAATTAATATATCGATGAATTCAATTATAATTTACATTCTGAAGATCAAAGAATCTAAATGCTTGGGCTATTGCAACATATTTTTCAGAAATTTTTGTCCATATAAATTCCAACAAATTCTCTAAGTATTGTGATACTTTGTCTTTCGACATATTCTAAATAGTGAGTTGAAAAAATTTAAAGTAAATTACCTTAACTTATTCAACTGTTTTGTTTGAATTGAGAATTTGATATATACTAGAAGAGTGATTTTTATCCTTCTTTACAATCAGTGGATAAAACTAGTAAACTTCTATTAATGTGTTAAGTTTCTCAAAAGAAATAACTTCTTTATCCTTCTCGCTCTCCCCTAATTTCACATAATTTACAATGATTTCAAATGTCTCATTTTCATCACTACTATTTTTGATTATTGTTTTTAGAATCTTCCTAAATTCTAATCCTTTCATTTAACCTGTATTAGATGGGTCTTATTTAACAAAACCTTGTTTAAGATAGGCCATTTATCTTGAATCAACTCCTTTTTTGTAAAGCTGAGTGACTACTTAAATCACCTGCTCGGCTGAATCTCTATCCTTCAATAGCTGTTTCAAATAAGTTGCTACATAATGCTTATTAAGATATTAAAACTTACGTAGCTCTTGCTTCTTAGACATCTAAATATCTGAGCCTTATCTCTGCAACTCATTCTTTTAAGCTCTAGATTGTGTTTCTAATAGGTCTAGCTAAGATTATCTCTCCATAATTATTGGCTCTTCTTTTATGACTTCATTCTTTAAATTATAGGTAATTTCTTTAACATTGTTTAGGACTAGTGATAAATCATTATTTTTAGATTTTGAATCACCATTTCTATTCAGTGATCCACCTAGTACAGATCTTTTAGAAGCCATGCTTTTCGCCCTTGACATTACTGATCCAGCATTACTTCTAGTTTCATTTTTATTGTCATTACCATTAGTTCTTACTATCCAATTCTCTACTTAAGCTGCTGCTGTTTCTTGATCTATCCCAATAACTGTAAGTGCATCTTGATAATTAATCTTATCTTTCTTCTTATAACTACTGTTTATAACTGTTCTAGCTTCTTAAGAAAGATCAATGCCATGTAATGTTAATAATTAGTAAAATAGATCATCTTTTACATAACCGTTCTTTTCTATATTAGTATTTAAATCATTTGATTGTACCTTAGTCAATGTTTTTAAGCATTTATTTCAATTTTTATTTTGTCTTATTGGCCTTAAATTGCATATCAACTTATGACATCTGTAAAAGTTAAAGAAATTAGGATAAATTTACTTATGATTTGGTCCCATCATTTAATTGATCTAATGCTCTTTTAGAAAGTACTGACATTTTATTCCTTATATTAAAATTTGAAAAACTATCTCTCTCTATCAAATTAATATCCCTATCATGGGGTTTTGGGGTTTTGGGGTTTTGGGG